GCTTTAAAAACTCACCTTTTTAGCTTGTATTTTTCTTAATTTTTTTCCCCGAATTTTATTTTTACTGTTAAGCGCATTGAGGCTTTAGCATAATGCGCTATATAAGCCAAAATTATTATTATTATTATTATAGTCCTATAACCTCTCCTCAAGACCCTCTCAACCTTCAAGCAGATCTTGACCAACTTACTCTGTGGAGTGAAGTAAACCGCATGCCTTTCAACGTTCCGAAGACAAATGTTTTACATATCACACGCTCGCGTAATAAACAACTGTCTTCCTATTTCTTGTCTGGCTCTCTTATTAGTCCGGTGACCACCATTAAATACCTTGGTGTTACTTTCAACTCAAAATTGACCTGGGAGGACCATGTCCATGCCATTGTTTCCAAAGCTAAGCGTATGCTTGGTTTTGTTTGGAGCGTGGCTGGACATGCTTCGACCAGTGCATTTTTGTCTCTCTACAAAAGCCTAGTATTGCCAGGCCTGGAGTATGCTCAACCCGCCTGGTTTCCATAGACTAAAACTTTGTCAGATCTGCTTGAGGGAGTCCATAGAAGAGCAACTCGTCTTGCTCTTAAACAACATCGAGGACAGATGAGCTTTGAGGAGAGGTTACATTTGCTTTCTTTTTCTTCTTTGTCTGTCAGAAGGGACAAATTGCTTATTATTTTTTGCTTTAAAGTTCTGATGGGCCTTCTAAGCTGCAGCACAGTTTATGATGGTATCAAAATCAATACCAGACATAATGATCGCTTGTGTTTCCGTCACCAAGCATCAATGACCCAAGCATTCGGTAGCCATCAGGTTGCCTCGTGTTTGGGACCAGCTCCCTAGATTGTTAACCGATGCTGCAGTTTTAGAAAGCCCATCCTCTTTTCTGATGACTTTATCAGAAAATATGGTTGGTTAAGTCATGTATCATGCATAGGGATGTTGACGCCTGCAAGGCTCTGGTTATAAATACGCTCAAACTAGTCTGAATTTAGCCTTATAGGGTTATGAATTATGTGGATGGCTCATTATAAATGCATTATTATTATAATAATTATTATTTTTATGAACTAAAACTGCCCACTGCTCTCAATTAACTGTATTGCATATAAATGTCTAATAATTTAATATCCAAACCTAAAATCTATGGTTAGCTATAAACTTTATTTTAGCCCAAAATGTTGATGCTTATTTGGTATTTACAGGATGGGCTTATCTATTAATTATCCATGGATAATTAGATTAACATAGTTGGTGTTGCATAAGTTAATTATTTTCAATAAAAAATAAATAATAATAATAATAATAATATATAAAAAAAAATTTGTTTCTTGCAGGTATTTGCAGGAATGTATCCAATTGACCAATCAGAGTATCTGTCTCTTAGAAGTGCAATAGATCGTTTAACATTGAATGATAGCAGCGTCTCTGTTAGCTCAGACAGTAGGTAAGTACTCATCAAGAATGTTCATCAAACTTCTTTATATTAGAAAGCTTATGTACAAACTCTTCCTCATATGGATACTACTGCAGCTACGATGAACATAATAGCGTATGTATTCAAATAAACGCTTTGGGGCATTTATTGTTAGGAAAGGTTTTTGAAGGGCTGTTTAACCGAGGGAGGCATTTATTTATTTTTTAGTAAAATGGATACATATATACTCAAATAAATGCACCTTAATTTCACTGTAAATGTGAAACTGCTACATAATATGTTGTTATATTTTAATTACCGTAAAAAGTGTTATTGTGTGATGATCCTAAACATTAGGGCGGTTTTGCACGCGAACGAATATGTGTACGCATACGTTTAGCTCTCTGTAACAGTTTGTAGCCATTCTGTTTTTTGCAATCACAGCGCAATTCAAGTGTAGCCTAGGCCTAGGGCCTTAGCTTAGGCTTACTGTACTCTGTTCTCTTCTCTTATCATGTTTCTCAAAGTTTTATTAGTATATGTAAGCTTTTGATGATTGAAATTGAACGAATACGTGTACGCATACGTTTAGCTATCCGTAACGGTTCGTAACCATTCTGTTTTTTTGCAATCACAGCGCAATTCAAGTGTAGCCTAGGCCTAGGGCCTTAGCTTAGGCCTACTGTACTCTGTTCTCTTCTCTTATCATGTTTCTCAAAGTTTTATTAGTATATGTAAGCTTTTGATAATTGAAATTGAACAAATACGTGTACGCATACGTTTAGCTATCCGTAACGGTTCGTAGCCATTCTGTTTTTTGCAATCACAGCACAATTCAAGTGTAGCCTAGGCCTAGGCCTTAGCTTAGGCACACTGTACTCTGTTCTCTTCTCTTATCATGCTTCTCAAAGTTTTATTAGTATGTAAGCTTTTGATAATTGAAATTGAACGAATACGTGTACGCATACGTTTAGCTATCCCTAACGGTTCCTAGCCATTCTGTTTTTTGCTATCACAGCGCAATTCTAGTTTAGCCTAGGCCTAGGGCCTTAGCTTAGGCCTACTGTACTCTGTTTTCTTCTCTCATCATGCTTCTCAAAGCCTTATTAGTATATGTAAGATTTTGGAAATTGAAATTGAAAATTGTAGCCGAAAAATACTTCTTTTGTTGCCCAGAAGTGTTGGTTATTTTGTGATAGGCCCTATTGTTTATGACTCGAAATGCCTGGCTACAAGTAGGCCTAGGCCTACACAAAATCCCGTCACCACGAAGGTCAAAGCACCAAAGTTTTGATACCCCAAAATGAAATGCATCCTATCGTAATTTGCTATCTTCAAATGTCACAAAAATGGCATTGTACTGTATGTATTCAAAGGTACATTCATTTTTTACACTTAAGTAAAATATGAAAAAATAATCCTACTAGAAACCCAAAATTACCCTACACTTTTTTTTCACTTGCGTGTAGTGAGCGAGATATGCGTGTCGTCCCCACGTTTAGCGGATAGCAGCCGGCGTATGACGTCAAAATGATGATGTATCTGTCACACTAACCGTATGCGCTTGCGTAGGAGACCTCCCTATTACTGATCCCGGCCTGGTTAGAAAAAAATTAATTCTACTGGAGTAGCTAAGGACATTAATACACCCCGAGTAGTAAATCACTCCTCGGAAAAGGACCAGTCGAATACGCCTAAAGATTAGGTTTTGCGAAAGATTGAACCTCCAATTTCAAGGATAAGAAGCAGAATTGCAACTACTCGACAAACCGCTTTTACAAAGTACTCAATGTTTATATTTATTCCTTTACAGTCCTGCGTTAGGACAAGGATGGCGTCTAGGATTTTTGGGCCTACTCCACATGGATGTCTTCAACCAGCGTCTGGAGCAGGAACACAATGCTAACGTTATCATCACATCCCCCAGTGTTACCTACAAAGCTATCCTCAAGGACACAAAACCAAACAGACTGGAATTTGGTGATACAGATGAAATCATGATTACAAATCCTTCTTCGGTAATGCATTTGATTTTTTATAATCAGTTTTTCATAGGGTAATAATAATAATAATAATAATAAATAATAATACTCAAGTATTTATATAGCTCCAGGTCCAAGGAATGATGAAAGGCACTGTGCATTTTTCACCCCTGGTCACTGGATAACACAGTGACAAACCAGTACAAAGTGCAACCTTCTCTGCTCCCTGGGGGGTATATCTAACTGTGCGTTACTTGTTTACTGCTGGAAACTAGTACATTCAATGCCACAATATCCTACCCATTTATTCTCATTGGGTAGAGAGAGAGACAAACGTAGATAAAGTGCCCTGCCCAAGGACACAAGCGTATTGCACAGCGAGAGTTTTGAACCCCTGACCTCAAGGTTAGGATCCAGGCCACAACCGATGCGCCAACTTCTTCTACAGCTACTCACATCAGCTAATATTCAGGGGTTCTGTCATGCAGGTATTAATGGATATGAAGCCCTATTAACAGTGCTCAGGGAGTGTTGATGTGTACATGTGCAGTTATTTTTGGGCTGCTCGCATTTGATGCCCTTACCCCTAGGGCTACGCTGCCACTTGGGCCATAGTGGTAGGGGTATGAGGCAAGGGGAAGGGCGCTATAGCTTCTATAGGTATTTAAATGTCTAATTTTAATGATTATGGAGAAACTCAACATGGTTTATATTTCTTCATCACACTTTTTTCATTTTTTGGAGTGGGGGGGGGGGGGAGACAGCTTCTCCCCTCCCGGGTCTAATGGTGATATCTGAACAAAGTTTATGCAGTGGGCATAACCGCAAAACATTATATCTAATGTTGTGTTTCTAATGAAAGGTTAAACTTGTATTTCAGTTTCCAGATATTACAAGAGTAGAGAGGTACTTGGAACCAATGATTATGGCAACAATCATCACGCCAGATGACTACATTGGAAAGGTCATTAACCTCTGCATTGTAAGTATTGTTGGTCATCTGACAATCACAGTTAATAATGTCAGTATTTATATATTGCTCTACACAACTGAAATCTTTTTAATACAATATTATCCCGGTCTCGGGAACACACACTCAGCTCCCAAAAAGAATAATTCTGTTATTTGCCGCATGAAATAAATCCATGCATTGGTACACGATCCTTCCGGGTATCTACTTAAACTCCTGGGATAGAGAGACAACATGGAGTACCTTGCCCAAGGAATCGAGGGCCTCAAACCCCGACCTTAAAATTAAGAACAGAAGTTTCAACCGTTGTGCCTGTGCTTTCACATAATTCAACTTCTCGGTTGTTAAACAACCTCTCTAAAAGCATGTTTTGTCCCACTGCCTGGGATAACTGCAATACAAACTTTTTATTTTCTTACAAAGGAGAAACGTGGTGAACATGTAGAGCAGACATATATTGACCAAAAGAGGGTGCTGATGAAATATCGTATGCCACTAAACGAGGTTGTCATCGACTTTTTTGACAAATTGAAATCTCTATCGTCAGGATATGGAAGGTATTGTGGGATGAAACAGTATGAGTATAGTAGGAAAATTATCTGTTTTGTTGAACCAATTAGTCGCTGAACTTAGCAACAGTTCAGCAACTGCTTCCGTTACTTTCTACAGGTTAATTAACCTTTGGATGAATTGTGTCATTCATGCTTTGGTGAGTGAGTGCGACCCTAAAACAGATAATTTTCTTTAGATTTAAATGCGTGGTGAGCAGATAAACATGACCAAAAATTTCAATATTTGGTGCAATTCTTTTTTTTTTTTTTCTTATACATAATTTAAATAGACTATCTGGTGAAAAATCCGTCCGTGGCTGGCTAATGTTTTTATAAGTATAAAATATATTAAAAAATTTTTGTAATAACGCACATAGATGATAATATAGCCTCATTGTCAAATTTTTATGATAATCTCAACACTGCCATCCGATTGCCTAAGAAATAATCTCAGCTTGTTTATATCTTTCAGTTTTGACTACGAGGATTATGGATATGAGCCGGCTGATCTTGTAAAACTGAATCTCATGCTTAATGGAAAAATCATTGACGAGCTGAGCACGGTAGTACACCGCGACAAGGCCCGCGAAGTCGGCAAACATATATGTAGTAGATTACTTGATACGATTCCACGTCAACTATATGAAGTAGCTATACAGGCCGCTGTCGGCGGAAAGATTGTAGCTAGAGAAACGGTGAAGGCGTTCAGGAAAAACGTCCTTGCAAAATGTGTAAGTATAGACAATTCTATTTTTGGCATTAAGCACTTTATAAAAGTATTATTATTATTATTATTAATTGATAAGACACTGGGAGGGGGGGGGGGGGTGCCGCCCAATGTGGGTTAGAGGCCCCCACAAAAAAGAGAAAAATGAAAGAAGAAAGAGGGGAGTGTGGTACATCAAAACGGGAAAATTGTTTTTATTATGATAAATCATTTCAACTCCCAAACAACACAAATTTTATGAATATGGCACATTTTAGATAGGTGGGGGTGGCACTCTCGCACTTAATATTTGAACACAATTTTCTTGTTTTATACATTTTCCCCTTGAATCTGCCTAGGCATAAACTGAATGAGCAGCTAATACACACATCAAGTGCCATAAGCATCTTGCTTGGTGGATACATACTGGCGGTATACAAATATACACATTATATAACAATCATTTTTATAGTATAGTGGTCTCTATTGTACATCAGTAAATAAAACTTTTTTTTTTTGCTATTTTTTTTTTATTGAATGTTATTGATCAGTTATTTGCTTAAAATTAAAACATTTTGACGTTTTCAGATTTTTTTTTTATTTCTTTTCACAGTATGGAGGTGATATTTCCAGAAAGATGAAATTATTGAAAAGACAAGCTGAGGGCAAGAAAAGAATGAGAAAATTAGGCAACGTAGATGTCCCAAAGGAAGCATTTATATCAGTGTTAAAAAAATGATATATGATGTCATTGGTGTTGTGTTTAATCTATTGCACTATTGACCAAGTCTTAAGGGTCTAGATTGTGTGAGGGTGCCTATGAGAATTGCATCAAAGAGTATAGATAGAACAAGAGAGCGTAGTCCCGTTTGTAAATACATTACTCCATTAGTTGGCAAATGGAGTGGGCCTACTATGTACGAGTTTACAGGAAGTGTTCCCACTTCAATAGTAATGCGAGAAGGTAAAAGAAGTATTAGCCTTCCGCACTCTCTGAAAAGTGCTGTATCATGTGGAAAACAAACAGTGCTGGGTGCAGTACTGGGTGATAGAACTATACAGATGACAGCGGGCAAAGCTTTGTGGAGGGTGTATCGCAGCAAGCGTACTAGGCTTTCGTTTTTCCTATACTCTTTGGTCACATTAGGAGAAATGGTCTATCAGGCCACGAAGTTACCAAACATGGGAAGTATCAATCTACGATACAATGTGCAGGCAAGCCCTGGTTTCCATGAAATCGCTACAGCCTATCGCCAACAGCTGTCGCGACTCTTGGTAGCTACAGTATATGAAAAAACGCCTGATGTTGGTGATCACGGACTACTTGGCGCAGACCTAACTTTAGCGTTGTTAATGCGCACGTTTATACAGCGGTTCACATTCACTTTAATGTCATTTGTTATTGCAGCATTATGGTTAATGTTTATTCATAGAACAATCAGGCCCTATGCATAAGTTTTATGATTGTCGTACAAACAATGTAAATGTTTAATTGATATTCAATTACTTTGTATCAAAATTTGATATCGTCGTCCCAAGGAAAGTGTGATGATCATCAAGGAGAAAGTGGTTATGATTCGGTGTCGACAAGTTGAAAAGGTTAACCAAACCGGAGAGCCTTCCCTATTCTGTTGGAGATTGCTGTGGTGGCAGTGTAGCAATTTTATGTAATCCAGGCCGTTGCAATGCTGCACTATTAAACATACTGTACTTCTTTTTGTCTTAATAAATTAAATACATGATATATTTTAAATTATGAGTTGGAATAGAAAAGAATAAATTCCTGAAATGCTTATATTTAGTACCATATTGTTTTTATTCAGTGTACAAAATACTGTATGTACATGTTAAGATATTTACACATCTGTGTGCTTGTTATGGCCTATTTTCATGTACAGTATCAATTGACTGTGGTTCCCCTCCAGCCTAGTGCCCCCTACTGGATCCGCGCCTGCCCTGGGAATTATGCCTATTTGGACCAGACTATTAAACAAAATTCCACAACATCCTACCAGGTATCAATTAATACTTGGAGGGAAAGCACCCAAGCAAAATCCAACTACCCACCTGTTTCGGGTAAGTTGCCATACATTTGTTTCCACTATGGAGTATACAGATACGCAGTAGAATGCTGCAGCCCTGCACCCAGAAATAATCATCTGAAAAATTATATATTCATTTCTATATATACTGTATTCATCAAATTTGTTTATACCAATTTATTCAAATAGATTTTTGGAGGCATCAAATATCTCTGCTATCATGTCCGTTGTTGTCATGCTTCGATGCCTTTTAGCGAACGCTAACTTGGCACATGTACGAGTTATCAGTGATGCTCCGTAAGCCGCGATCATGGTTGGCCCGCCGAACTGGTATACATTATCACTGCAAAGAAAATCGGAAAATCTGGTATTTTATACAAGAACATTTCAATCTAGAAAAATACAAACACATGGAGAAAACTATATATTTACAGACAATTTCCTACAAAAATACTTAAATGTTCTGTTAGGCAATATAAAAGTCTATTATTCAGAGGTAGGCATAAAAATGGGTCAGAGGGCCGCACAAACACAGAATTTTTCAGTGTAGGCCTACTTGTTAAAACCTGCCTTTATGCCACTTTATTCTCAGTATTTATATTACTCTTTACAATGATTGGCCTTGGGCCATAACAAAATCAGGGCGTTTTCTAGCTAAAGATAGTAGATGGGCCACTCAGACAGTGTTTTTAATATATTTTTTAGGGCTGCATTGAAATTGTCACTTGGCCCACATGTGGTCTGTAAAATGGTAAGAATATTTCTTCTCATATTATAGTATTTAACTACGGAATAATAATTTAAAAAAAAAACTTATCGTGCAAATTTTTAAATGAAAGTTTATATTTAAATACTGTACTGTTAGGTAGCTTGCTTAACACAGAGACAATTATATAGAAAAACATTCTACCAATATAGGGTACAAACTACAAATGTCTGTATGAAGCTTGTATACATACTCTAAATCTTTGTTTTTGTAGAAATTATGTGCCCAAAAGGTCATTGTCCCCATGCTGCCTGATAACAAATCTCCTTGACCACCACACCGCCGAGGGCTCCCTTCCATTGAGTTGATCAACACTGCAAAACACAAGATTATAGATTTCTCAATTTTTTAAATTGCAGTATGAAGAGCAGAATCCATTTAACATTTGATTTTGTTTTTAGTCTATTTGTCTTTTAAACACTTCAAAGAACTATAAAATTAAATATCACTCCAACCAAAATTTTTTGAAAATCAACATCTTATTATTTAGGCAGTGGCTATTGTTACACAATTCTTATACCAATTGCTATTTCTGATTGGATTTTATGTCCTAAGAATTAAGAATTGGTTGGAGACTGGTGTAATAATAGCCACTGCATACTTTTTATGTCTAAGTTGCACAATTCTCTTTTGAAAATCAGTTTTTTGAGCACATAGCCTGGATTGCTAACGGAACATTCAACATGTTTTTGTTATTATTTGTCATTTCGCAACTAAGAATACAAGCTAATCTGTTATCTTTTATTCATCACCAGTGGAGGTGTTTCTCTATACCAAAATTAGTATGGTATTTGATGAGAACACAAACAAAATCAAAATATACCTTTTTTACCATCGGTAATAATGTCACACGCCCCTTTGTTGACAATGGTGACATTGCCAAGTTTTTGACATAGCCTCATTGTACCATCAACTACTGCTCCAAGATCTGGCTCCTCACCAATCTGCAATAAAATTAAAAAAAAGAAGCAAATCACCAGGATTTAGTCACTATTTCCCAACTGCCCGGCAACAAAAATCCTTGACCACCACACCATTGAGGGCTCCCTTCAATTGAATTTTGTCATGCCAAAAATAGTCTACAATTTTCACTGACAAGATTGTGTTATCAATATTAGCCTTTAAACTGTTGAGTGATATTATGATTTGGCAATGTACAGTAAACATATAAAACCAAAATTGAGAAGTTAATATCTCTATTTATTGAATAAACATTCATTATAAAGAAAATATACAATAAGAATTTGCTTACAACTTTTTTGTACAAAAGTTTGAATTCCATAATGTTTGGAGTAAGTATTGCCTTTGTGTATCCATGTATCAACTCTGGTGATTGCGATAGAAGATAAACTCCATCCTAGTAGAGAGAAATTAGATAAAATGTAAAGATTAATTATTTATTTTATTTATTATTGTAGATTCTCAGGTATGCTCTCAAGTCATCAACAATTTAATTTTGCTTTCAACAAAATTTAAACAAAACAAGGTAACAACACAGGCAATTTATTTAACACAACAGACTTACAGTAAAGATTTTTTATTTAAGACTAAATAATGAAAACTGATGTAAAAATATAATACAACACTATATGTTAGGCTTTATGTATAATTGTCTTCACTATGTCTCCTGTTTTTAAATATTTACATACAGTAATCATGATCATTATAATGATTACAATAATAATAATAATAAAATAATGTTATAACAATAATAATAATAATAATAATGATACAAATATTACTACTTACAGCATCTATTACTAATGGTATATTCAACTCTTTTGCTTCTTTGATAACGATCTGAAAGATTATTATAATAAATAATTATAACAAACCATTTTTTCACCTCATTCATTACTGGCAATGTTAGAGGGGCAGGGCAGGGCATGAGTGGGAATCCACCATCCGGGAGAAGAAATAATTGGTGAAGTGAAAATAATCCCTCTGAGGTGTTCTGGGCAGGCCATACGTCCTGGTGCTGCTGCCACTGTTTATGCAATTCATCATAAGGATGTACAGAATGAAAGTAGCGAGCAGGAAAATGCATATTTAATAATTAATCTCATAGTAAATACTGTCTGACTTACAGCTGTATTTTCAAGTAACCTAGGGTGCCTGCCCAGTCCAGGTCCAATGATTAGTGAATGCATACGAGGTAACCAGTTGTTATTAATCTCCTCAACTCCTCCATCTTTATCTCTGAGTAAAATAATAAATGCATCTGTTAGTCTTACTATAGTGTTACAGTACATAATAAAAATTATTATAGTAGACAAATGTAATGAACAAATATAGTAGGGGTTTTCAAGTGGTGGCCCGCAGGCCATCTCCGGCCTGAGAGTCTGTGTTAAGCGGCGAACAAGCCGAAAATTATTTTTGAGATTAAATAATATTTTTAAGATTGGCCATGTATTTCTCACCTTAATAATTTCGCATTCCGTTTTGCCGACAAGGCCTATAATATTGCCCCACAAATTTTAGCGATTTAATTAATCAAATTAGAACCATCGTAGCAAACAGCAAAGAAATACTGTATTACCGCTTACCTATTGTCTGGTATATAACATTTTGACTTTTGCATCACCAAACACAAGGGTAACATTCTCAAGTCAAGATGCCTTGCAGCTTTTTTTTTTTTTTTTATTCCAATTCGGAAGGGGACACCCCCCTCCCAAGGCTTGCACCTAAGCGCCATATTACACCTCTTGCCCAGGCCCTTCGAATTTATTCAATAAAAAATGTAGGCCCCTATTGCGATATTGTTGAAACCTTTAAAATATAAAAACACACTCAATAGCTTTTTAAAAAGAATCAGACACATTATTAATGATACACAAATTGAGTATTATTTTGATATCTACGTTCTATGCAAAATTTTTTTATGAATAGTAATTATATTTATACATGTTAATTTGCAGAGCTTGTACAGTGGTGGTGCCAATGGGGGAGGGGAAAGTGCCAATGAGGGAGGGGAAAATTGCCACCCCCATCCAACAGGCTTGGAGCCTTGTCGTCTGACGCCACAACAAGGTGTCCAGAACAAAAATAATAATTTGGCTATCCAAATAACGTTATTTTTGATTGCCAATCCCTATTATTATGGTCTAAAAGCTCAATATTGGACCATATGACCATGTAGGAATTAGTCTAAACTAATTCCTCCATGATATGATAAAAACTCTCCTCATGAACCTGACCACAAATTTTTATTCTGGGACCCTAGTCAGCCCCTTAGTTTGGACCCCTCCGTCAAGCATGTCGAGCCCCTTGTTGGAACATTTCTGGAGCCACCACTGCGCTTGTAGGACATTTTTTGGTATATTATCTTACAAGACTGGATGTACTATGAGTTCTGGACTGTAGGACTTGATAACAGGGGCAGCATCCTTAGTACAGAACACATGCGATAGATCACACCCCTGAAAAAACAATGCAAAGAAAGAGAGTAGTTGTTATTGATTGTATATGGTGTACTTATTTATTTTACGTTAACTTTTCAAAAGATATGTACTGTATAAATAAGCCAGACAACAAGAGGTTCTCCCGAACATAGGTGGCTAGCATTTTACAAACCTGGATTTTTCAAAAGGAAGAATTTTGGAAACTCTATAAAGATATTTTGCAAACAAAGGAATGTTGCAACCTTCCCCTTTTTTTGGTTTTAAAATACTTCAGGTGTGAAATGTCTGCTGCAGAGTTTCTAAAGTTGATATCTATGAATGGGCCCCTAACAGCCCTGGGCCCCAGTGCTTTGCACTGGCTGCACTGCCCATCCCTACGCCATTGTTCTGGGATATGAAATGTAAACATTGGTTCCTTACAATTTTAAGAGCTGAAATGGCTGCGAAATATGGAGCTCCGGTGTACTCTTGGCATCCTCCAATCGTTGCTAAGCGGCCATCTTGTCCTTTATGTTTATCGTAAGTTAGTGGAGGAATGATTGATTTGACTGCTTCTTGTAAGATGACAGAGTTCTTGTTGCATTCCTCTAGAATTGCTAAACCCTTTTCACCAAGTTTCTCAGTGGAGAAGTTCACTATTAAAATACATGAAACAAACAAACATCATATAAATTATCTGAAGACAGTCGTGATCATGATCTGTTGATATTCATAATATACTGTAGGCCTTCTTCAAAATTATTCAGAACTATTGCCAATCTAACTATGACATTGATATTAAACCCAGTAGAGGTCTATAAAATGTACTAATATGCTACTGCTATTCTACCTATAGTCTGTACTGGGATGCAGCAAAGCCTGCCTGCAGTTTTTATATACTGTATACATCTATGAGCTAATAATTAACAACTCTCTGGTTATGCTAAAGTTAAGCACTTTATTTGCTTGCAACTTGCCATACATTTAATCAGTGGTGGCACCATGGCTTGCTCGACAGGGGTCTAATGTCCCCAACGATGGGATGCTCCCCGACAGGAGCGTAAATGTTGGCAGGGCGAAAGAAAAATTCAATTTGATTGGATCTCTAAAATAACGATGTCAAAGGATCTACCAAATCTTATGACATAGAAAACAAAATTAAATTTGAATGATTTTTTTTTTAATGACTATTTAATTATGGGGAAAATTTGGCTACAGGTGTTGTACAGTATAAATTTTCTGACCTTTTTTTAACTAATTCATATCATTCAATCATCATAACTTTGTTAGTTGTAAGTAAATGATTTTCAATTATTTTTTTGCAGCTGCTGGATAAGAGAAGAATTCTAAATACATAACTAGAAGACAGATGGGATGGGGGTGGGTGGCGCCAGTTGGCCAGAGGTTGTAACGCTCCACGTCTTTGATTTGTGATTCGGAATCGGTGCTATATATAAACTTTGGTATTAATTATTACTAGAAGCTCCCTCAAACCACCACTTTGAATCGTATTAACAAAATACGATTTTAAGACAGTGTAGAAAACCAATCACATGCAATGCAGAGCTTGAATTAAAAAGCCATATTCTCAATGTTTGAGGCTTGTCTTTATTCCAAAAAATGTAGAGAACAATGTACATATGCACAAGAGTACTAGAAACTCCTGCTGCCTTCCAGAATGTGGTAGACGCTTCTCAAGCTCCCTCTCGGGATCAAGCCCTGATTCTCTGTTACCTGTGAAAACAATGGTTGGTACATAACGTACCATTGAAAGTTAAATTTACATTGTGTCGTTTCAGTGGCTGCATGCCAGCTGACAATGGTGATTAATTTGCTAGGTATAGGGGTGGGAACTGATGTCAAAATACCAAATGCAGGTTGTGGTGATGGTGTTGAAGGTCTTGGGTCTTCAGCTAGTGGCTGTGGTTCTTCCTGCTGGCTTGCACTTGAAGTACTTCCACGTTCGCATTGCTTAAATTGCCGAAATCGCTCCTGACATACTTAGTCTTAGAACAGCTCCTTGTTCTCTGTCAGTCATGAAAGTGCATCCCATGTTTGTTGGGAGCCTAATTTTTGGCAAAATCTGCACAGAAATTGGATTTCTGAGTAGTCGGTTTTATAAGCCTAATTTTTAAGTGGAGGGTATAATTGTATTTCCTGCGCAAGCCTTATTGATTGTCTGGCAGCCAGCCACTACTATCTATCATCACTATGACATTTTTTCAAGCCAAATTTCACTCAACTCACCAACTCCTATCTTACCTAAACCTAGGCCTAGGCCTAGTCAAGTCAGAGCCAACCCTAGGCTAGCCTAGGCCTAGTCCTTGGGCCTACTCCAGATAGGAGGAGCTAGACATGTACCCTAGTCAAGCGGCCCTAGCCTAGCCTAAGCCTCTCTACTTCTAGGCCTAGGCTAGCCTCTTTTAACAAATATGAAAATAGAAAAATCACCATTATCAACACAATCGTGTACCTCTATTCATTATTGCGTGTGTATTATTAACAAGTGCCTTAACACTACTACGCACTAAAGTCATTCCAGCTCTGCAAGCACAGAGTTTCGTCTGACATTTGATTGCGCCCCTGGATGATGCATGTGAGAGAGACAACAAATACAACTTTTAAACTTTGACCTTTTGTGAGCTTTTTATTTTATATTGACCTCTCTTAAAGCGTGCTGTTTCCGGTTGCCGGTAGTGGCTAAAAAGTCAGCTGAAAAGTCTAAATATGTACCGTTGTAGGTTACTGTTACACAATTCTGAATCAATTTCACGATGTCTGTATACAAAGGCCCCACAGTCAAAGCTTTTTCAAGGTATTTATAGTGTAATTTTATGTTTTAGCCTAGGCCTAGGCCTGTAGGCCCGTACGTAGAGTTAGGCCCTAGGCCTAGTAGTAGTAGCCGGCCCAAGGTGTAGTTTAGTAAGTAGGCTAGGCCTAGGTAGGCCTATATATGCCTCTAAGCCGTAGACTAGGCTACGCCAATTGATGGAGGTATTTCTAGCCTGCCGTGGCTTTGCATAGTACAGTAGTAGGCCTAGTAATAAATGACAATAATGTTCTAAAGAGTAAAGTTTTTTTTATTGTTTTTCACAACTGTAGAGGTCTAGGCCTAGCGTAGGCCTAGCTAGGCCCTAGCCTAGCCTCGTAGGTACCTGCAAGTTACGTTGCCACGCCCACTTTTGCTGTTGGTGTAAATTTGTGACTCGAGACAGCGGCGGCCCAGCATAGCTGTTAGTAATTAATTCGTAAAATTACGGTTTTGATTGGTTACTGTTGTAGTTATTCTACAGCTGGGTTATTTTTCCATTTTTTTTTGTCCGACGTTATATAGAGGTTTGCAACATTCGAAAATTGACGATCGTAAAACACGCTTATTTTTCATTAAACGAAAATGGGTCCATTATTTTGATAATAAGGTCCATAATTAGTATGTTATATTGCATCATTTGACGCAAGATTTAGAAAAATTGGTGCATGGGAAAGTGCAATTTGGCCACGGGTTTCCAACTACATTTTGTAGTCACTTCGTGGTGTTATTCTGTGTAGTGTTAAAGAATAGGCTTTTAGCTGTGCGAACGCTGACCACGGATCGAATGAAAAATACCTAGTATTTTTACACCAAATATATTATAAATAGTAGATATAGCATGTAATATTGGTACATTATATACTATTTGTTACTTGTATTTATGCTCTTGTTTCTAAATATGTTAGAATTATAGTGATTTTTGATGATTTTAAATTCATTAAAAATATCGGCCTATGAACATTATTAGCTTGGGTGGTCATTTTGTAATGTAGCCAATCAGAGCGTGCGGTGGTACCTAGGCTGGTAGATTAATGTTTTTTTTGCTTCCCCCACCCACTCCAGATCTGATTAATGAAGATACAGATACGGATACAGATCTTTTATTGTCATAAAAATACAAGGTACAATTAGTGCTAACTCAGTAAAAAAAATCAAATTCTATAGAAAAGTGCTCTCCAACAATATGCTGGTTGTGGGGGAAGGGGCCCTTTTGAAATTTTTTTTACTTTGTTTTATTTTATGATTTTTTTTATTTATTTTGCATTTCGTGTCCTTTTTTGTGATGTTATTGTACTGTGTTTTCTTGGTCTATTGTTCAACTTCAATTTTATATGATAAAATTGCAATAAAGCTTCCTGTATCTTGTATATTTCATCTTCTTAGCATAATTCTTAATCACATAAATACTAGGATATTAAGTATAAGAATAAAAATCTTTATTTTAAATGTTTTATTCTCATGTCCATCGACACAGGTCTGTGGAATTGTTCATTTATGTACATTTTAAATGCTTTAGCTCAAGGAGACTTTGCCTCAGACTCCTCACAAGACCTCTTTTCTTCAATATAAAATTTATATTTTTTATTGGCCTTATTTCGAAGTGCCCCCCCCCCCCATTGAAAATACTTGAACCAAAAAATCACACTTTAAATTAGGTAAAAATCACCTCAAATCACCAGCTTGTACCCCTTCACCTAATCATTGAGCTCCCTCACTTCACCTTCACATCCCCATTGGCCCCCCACCCCCATTTTAAGACTCCTAGATACTGTACATCACTGTATGAAGTGCCTTATTGGTTGGGGCCTGACATTCAGTTTATTTTTCTCTGTGCTTTGTATGCTAGGTCGGCAGAAACTCCTGCAACCTGTGAGGAAGATGGGAATATCGACTGTTGAAGGTGCAGGCAACAGCAATATGCTTCTCATAACTGGTTTAGCATCATTTGCAGTTTTTGGTGGCATAGTAAGTAATTGTAAGATTTAGAAAAATATGTATTTTAAGCTGCCTTTTTGTTTTTATGTTTTTTTTTTTTAATATTTGTTTTCAAGGCAAAAAATAGTATAACTGTAATATTCTTTAAATTTAACTAGTAAAGTGTAATTTATATCTCAGATCTCATATATTTAAATATTCTTGCTGATGGTATATTTAACATGGTGCAATTGTTAAGAAGCATCCAAATGTTGTAGGGTGTTTGGTTCAATCCTCCACTTTCAAAACCTTATAAAACAGAGCTTCAGTATTCTTGATTGTTCTTTAAGCCAAATGGCTCAAACTTAGATGATAGATAAATTATTATATAGGACTGTAAATGCTAAATTTTATGATAATACTATGTTTTCATTCATTGTCAATATAGTACGGTAATTTATGTCTAGGCAAACAACAGTATGTAGGCCTACAGTTCAAGTGATCTGGCAATCAGTTTTGGATCCAGGGGGTGAGGGCCTACCCTCCGTGGCACCAGCCAAAAAAAAAACGAAAGAAAATAAGAGATTGAAATTAGTAAAGCTATGAACTTTATAGGGGAACATGATAGCCCCTTTGCTTGATTCTCCCATAAGGAACACCATGACCTTAAACCCTTCCTCCTTGACCTTAAGTTCAACCAATTTCAAAACATAAGTCCTCACTTGGCATCCACGCCATTACAAAAAACAATTCTGTATTCACCAATCCATTGACAATCTCATTACTAATTTTATTATATTATTTCACAACAAACTTACAAAGAATATCATGATAGTTCTATCTACTGTTCAGCGTTGTGAGGTCCACTAAATTGTTTTATTTCTGAACATCAGGTGTGGCATAAATACGTAGATTTGAGCTACCAACCTAGGCACACTCCAAAGTTTGCAGTGTCTCAGTCATCTTCGGAAGTCTCTAGTGATTCCTCAGCTGCAACAGAAGGAGGGGGAACACCTGCTGCATCCTCACCAGGTGAGAAATCCACATCATCGGCACCGACCGCAGAAACATCACAAGCAGGTACGGGCAGCCAAAAGTGGCCAATAATTTTTATAACCTTCTCTTTTGTGTGAGTGATCACTTCATCCCTCTGAAAGAGTCTTACACAATAATATTTTGATGGTTGACATATATTTTATATATTTTCTTACCATAACAGTTACACTGCCTGAGATTCCAGACCATGCTCCATACCTCCTGATCGGGGCAGGGACAGCTTCATTTGCTGCCTTCAGAGCTATAAGAGGAAGTGATCCTAAGGCTAAGGTAAATCATAAGGAAGTGTTTGCAATTTGAAGAATTTAGTAGAATATATTTAAACGGTTGCTCTTCTGGTCCAGAATTAAATCCTGACCAAGTTAACAGCAATTTCTCAAACAAAATAAATAGTAACCTTTTTTTTTTCCTACAATATTTTGATAATATCCTTTTTATTTTCAAAAGAAATGTAGTAATATAAATATATTATAATATGGCAACAATTATTAACTATTGAGTAATAGTTACACTGAATATTTATATTTTTTTTCAAAAATGTAATATGTTAAATGATTCTTTTGTCAGGTGTTAGTTATAACAGAGGAGGAATTCAATCCATACATGCGCCCTCCGTTGTCCAAAGAATTGTGGTTTAGCGATGATAAGGAAGGAATAGAACATTTTGAGTTTAAACAGTGGAATGGTAAAGAGAGGAGGTAAGGCTGACATTTTTAATAATCATTATGCTTCAAGCAGCAAAAGGCTGTATGAGACGCAGTAACTGGGTTTATAAATGGCAAACCTACATAAAGTGCCCGGAGGGCCAGTACACATGCTGCAATATATAAAACACACAGCCAATAACATTCAGTCCCACATCATACCAGGCCTACCCCCTTGGACGCCTTTGCTATGATGGTTTGCATTTTAAGGGTGGGTGGGTGATAAAATTAATAGGAGTGGATTTTAAGGATGTGAAATGGGACTAATAAAGTGGGTTATGAAATTTTCTTTGGATGAACTAGGCTAGGTAGAAAACTTTAAGCTTTTGTGGCCTGATAAGAAAGACAACATTTTCGTAAAATGCGCAAGTAGGGTTCTGATCCCTAAAATCTCAAAATTAGGAAGCCCAACCGCCTCTGCTTTACTAAATTCTCCTGTTATATAATTTGAAGAATTGATCAATCAAAAACATAATTTTTGAAAAAAAAAAGGATAAAAAAAATGATTAGTTTCAAAATTAAAACAGTCCCAACCTGAACACTTGAATTGTATTTTATCTAATACTGCTCAAGGCCAGGGTTTGGTCAATCAGTAGCCATATTTTCATATAGCTTTTGCTTTATTAATTATAATTTTTTTTTTTTTTTGTTACCAGCATTTTCTTTGAGCCAGATTCGTTTTATTGTGACCCAAGTGAATTATCCACCAAAGAGAATGGGGGCGTGGCTATACTAAAAGGACATAAGGTTACAGCACTTGACATCCATAAAAAGAAAGTGACTTTAAATAACGGAAAGGAAATTAAGTTTGATAAATGCCTGCTTGCTACTGGTGAGTTTTTATTATAACTAACATCTTAAAATTTTTTTTTTTTTTTCGGGTCTACTTGTGTTGCCATTTCTACAACCACTCATTTTCTCAAAGCCCAGATAAAGAACATTTAAAATAGATTAGTTCAGTGTCATGTAAAGCCACCATCAGAAACGCTGGTTATAATCACCATAAATAATCCAATAAGCGCTGCAGCCCTCGTGATATTTTGTGGAGGCTTCAGCGAGTAAGATAATTCGAAAGGGGCGTCTCTCTGACATTTAACAACGTTAGTATTTTTTTTTTTTTCAAGAGTGGTGCTTAGCAATTTTTATTTTTTAAATGGTAACTACCCCAAACAAGGAGACTTCTATTTATTTATTTATTTTTTATTTAACTACATTATTGATACTGGATGACACTGTCAGTCAAGCTCAATAAAGGCTTAAGATTTATCCACATCAAATGTTATGTTAATGTGATATGCCCATATTTGGGTGTAATATGACATCATAATCCCCATATATGGGAATACATCACACAAATTTGTCACAGACATTTTGAAGCGTGGATAGAGCTAGTCGTTTATTTCTCATTTATTTCTCCATAAAAAAAAATTTCACAAAAAAAAAACCTTTGGCTATAACATAATGTGAACCACGGCTGCCAGCTCAATAAATGAGAATAGAAACCTCTGCACTAAACCTATTTCCTACAGTAGATGGTATGGACAATAAAGCTTTGTCCAGATTCTCAAATTTTCTTTTGACAACAAAAACTGGTGTATGCCCATATATAGTCATGATGTGTCTATATATGGTCATAATGTGATGACATCATGACCATATTTAGACATATATGTTTTGTCCAATAAAATTAGATATTCTGGACAGAGATTAAAATAATAATAATAATAATAATAATAATAATAATAATAATAATAATAATAATAAAAATATATTGATAATATTAATAATATTAATAATAATAATAGTAATGATAATAATAATAGTAATAATATACCTTTACCCGTTTACACTTGTATGTTAATCAATAGCATTTACATTAATAAGATATTTTACTTTAGAATGTTTGAAATTTTTAGTATTTTCTGAAGAATTGTAAATTGTTGATGTTTTTTTAATTTTAACTAAAGGTGGCAAGCCAAGGAACCTACCAGCAGTTACTCGTGCTGGGTCAGAGGTTGAGAAGAGAACAACGCTTTTTAGAAATGTAAGTGCCAATAATGACTTTGATAGCAATTGTTATTGTTGTGATGGAATAGTACCCGCTGCTTACTTGGACTCAAATTCAATCCTGGCCATCAGGCGCAAGCTCGGTTATCTAGAGGTCTTATGCCAGGCTAGTAATCTGGAGATGTGGGTTCGAGAACAACTTGCGATTTTTTTTCGCAAATGTTTTTAAACGTACTGAGTATTCAGTACATTTCCACGTCAAGTAGTGCAAAATTACACCTATACATGTTTTTCCTGACGCAAATCCAGTTATTGTTTATTCCATCACGACAATAACAATTACTATCAACACTACAGTAACCGCTGCTTACTTGGACTCGAATTCAACCCTGGCCATTAGGCGCAAGCTAGGTGGTCAAGAGGTATGATGCCAGGCCAGTGATCTGGAGATCGTGGGTTCGAGTCCCACCCGAGAACAACTTGCAATTGTTTTGAAACGTACTGAGTATTCAGTACATTTCCACGTCAGGTAGGGCAAAATTACACCTATAAATGATGACTTTACTGTTTAATCTTTTTCATTGTATTTTTTTAATATCATATTATTATTTCAATATTGAGTAGATGATTACTTTTCATATCTTACATGATAGGTTTGTACATTTTTATATTGACTATTAAAAGTTTTTTTGTTATTGTTATTGTTTTGTATTGGCACTTTTTTAATTTGTCTTTTGGGCTTTTTATATTACTTATTTTTCTATTGTATTTTCTAATGTTTGTATTCGATGTTGTGAGTGATTGTATTGTATCTTAAGTTGTAATGCATTTTAAGCTTTGTAATCCAGATTCTTTTGAATTTTTTTAATGAATTTTATTGTATTTTATTATTTTTTTAAATCTTTTTAGCTTGTAATCTAGATCCTTTATTGAATTGCCCCATGTGGGATGAATATAGACATATTGTATTGTATTGTATTCTCCAATCTCAATATTGTTTTTTCTTTGAGATAGCAATGAATACTACACATATATACATATCAATTATAGAGAGAGTGACTTAGTTGAATCAGCTAATCTTTTGGAAGCCACAGTGTGTGCGTAGAACTGAGATCTCTTGGTCCACATTCAATTCCCATCTCTGCTCTCCTTGTACAGTATTTCAGCTGGAGGGCTGAAATGCACGATAACGCACCGTCTGTCAGACGAGACGTTTAAGCCGTTGGTCCTGTTATGGCCATGTGCACATTAAAGTGCACTCTATGAAAAAAGGTAGGGGATTGTCCAGGTATGCTGCCCCCACTGGCAATAAGTCTTCTTCAAACTTTCGTGGGTTATCCTTGGTGTTTACACCAAATAGATCCGTCCACCAATCCAATTTTTTTTTTTGTTAAGTTTGTTGATTTTCTTTCATTTTTCTACTAATACATAGGACTATTTAGTAACATTTTTTTCTTCTGTTTTACTCACCAAAGGCTGATGATTTTAAATCACTAGAAGAAATTTCAAGAAATGTTAAATCTATAGCAATAATTGGTGGTGGCTTTCTTGGAAGTGAGCTGGCATGTGCTCTTGGAAAACGAGGTAATAACAAGTATTAACAAAGTTTAAAATTAAGCTCTACATTTACCTATGATGTAATTCAAATTCAAATTCTTTATTGCAATCAGTTGTATTGTGATTGGATGAAACAGGTAACAGTACTAAAATCAGTAAAAACATTTAAAAATGTGGTACGTCTAAAAGATGATAAAAAAAAAAACTAAAAAACAAGACATACCTGACGACTACAGCCCCTGTCGGGGAGAGCTGGTTATTTCTCCCCCCCCCCCCCCCCTTGGGGAGAAAAAGT